GGTCTCGCATAGAGGTGTCCTGGATTACTGCTGTCACTGCAAAGCCCCTTGTTTTACAGGTTCTAAGGTAGCCCATCCAGCTCAACTTGGAGATTGTCTCAAGCTGTTCTGGAGGGAGGGGGTAAGGAACCAGAGGACACAGCTATTTTGGGGGAGCCCAGAGGTCTCTATCTCAGGGTCAACTGAAAACCAGCCATGCCTCTTGCATTAGTCCATTTTCATGCTGCTGATGAAGACATACCTGAAACTGGGCAATTTATAAAAGAAAGAGGTTTATTGGACTTACAATTCCACGTGCCTGAGGAGGCCTTACAATCACAGTGGAAGGTGAAAGGCCGTCTCCCATGGTGGCTGACAAGAGAAGAAAGCTTGTGCTGGGAAACTCCCCTTTTCAAAACCACTAGATCTCATGAGACTTACTATCATGAGAACAGCATGGTAAAGAACTGCCCCGGGATTCCACTACCTCCCACTGGGACCCTTCCATGACACGTGGGAATTGAAGATGAGATTTGGGTAGGGACACAGCCAAACCATATCACCTCTGGAGCCCCTAGAAACCCAAGGTAAGTCATTTAGGGCAACTGCTCTGAGCTGGAGAAGGGAGGATCTGAAGGCCCTTACTTGATGGTTCAGTCACTGCAGCACCAGCCAACCTAGTCATTTTTATTCTCCCATTCGCCAAGGCCATTCCTTCATACATTATTTCTAGGGGGTATCTTGCATCCTTAGTGATCATATACTTAGTGGTTATATTTTATCAGCCAAAGATGAAATTTTCAACCTATAATCATTTTTATCTGTTTGGCAAAAGTAGGGAAAATGGTATAACAAGGGCTAAAATGCTCTTCTGGTCCCCAAGCAGCCAATCTGCCTTACATACAATAAATGGTGTGAAATGCACTTGTGTGCACTGAAACTGGAGAAGTACTTTGGTGCCTATAAACCACTGGGGACCTGTTAAAATGTAGATTCTGATCATTTGGTTTGGGGAGCAGAAGTCTGAATTTGTAGACGCTCCCAGGTGCTGTGGGCCCTGAGTGCACACCCTGAAGAGCAGAGAGTTTGGCCTTGGTTGCTCCTCTGTAAGGAGACTCTGAAGACCTTGTTCAATTGCATTAATGATTATCTGCTACTAGGGATACGCAAGGTAGATTTAAATTGTTGAGGGAGAGGATCTTGCAAAGAGACACGGGCAGAGACAGACAATGACTTGCAAGAATCTCAAATAAATATCATGAATCTCTTAAGTTACGCACTTTTGATTTTTGCTTTTAGACTTTCCATCCAGGCACTACACAAGTTATCTAAGGAGGCAATAGAATGAGAGAAAGAAACAGTAATTTCCCAACTTCCTGGCAGAAACTGTCACTGGAGGTGGCTGAACAGTGTTTTTGAAAATACTTAGCGAAGGGACCCAGTTTCGCATCCAGAGAGCCACATACTGGAAGTGTTGTTCCTAGGGTTTTGCATGTGTCCCAGATTCCAAGCGTCTCTTTAAGGCACATGATACCATTGCTTTTATGACACTACTCTCTTCCCAAGCAGCAGTATGTATTATAACCAAATTTAATGATTTCTATTAGCAACATTTTAGTTTTTCTACAGTATAAATTACATATCCAAATCTGCCAATTCATCTCTATCATCTGATCAAGATGTCAAGATCATTCTCTCTCTGCCCCTAAATACCACAGAAGAAAAAAAATATTAGCACAGACACATCCAATGCAGACCTGTGAAAAGAACATAGCCAGATTTGGTACCATTCACAAGGACTCCTTGGTGACGCTTCTTGGTTGTGTGGGAATCTGGAGCTTTGTGTATGAGGTCACAGCATTCAATGCAGTGGGACATGTCTTCAGATTGACAAAGGCCCCAAAGTCTCTATCTCCATTAGCAAATGCCTTCCTTTACATGATTCAAGGGAAAAAGAGACCTAAGCGATATTAGTAAGCAGTGCACATTTGTGTTTATGTGCGCCACTGATGACAATATAAACAAGCTTCTCTTTTGGTTTCAATCCACAAGTGTTTATTGGTTCTGACATTCCAGACAAAGCACTGCTCAAGGCACTGTGAAGAGAGAGAGAAAAACAGTCATGGTCCCTGCTCTCATGAAGCTTACAATCTAAAGACAAAAGCATTCTCTCATTGCAGCATAACCAGCAATTCCAAGTGGTATGTGGAAACTGTGTAGATGTGGTTGTGTCTGCTACAGGATTCAGATGGGGGCTGGATGAGGAGGATCTGGATATGGGCCAAGAGAGAGGAAAGGGCTGTTCTATGTTAAAGCACAGCACAGAATATCACAAGATCAGGAACACTCACAGCCTGAGCAGTGAGACTAGTTACCAGCCTCTGTGATGGATAAATGGGGCTGAGGTCCAAAGGCTGATTAGAGTCCACTCTTGAGGCTAATGACTCTGACCTTTATCTTTTGGCAGCAGAAAGCCAATAAAAGGTATTTGCGACGATGAGTGGCATCATGAAAGTGAATTTTGGAAGACAAAGCTGGCAGAGTTATGTAGAATTGAGTGAGGTGGTACTCTAAGTATCGAACAGAGCAAATAAGTGAGATATTGAGACTCTCTAAGCTCAGAGTTTGTGATTCTAAAATGAAATACTAGCAGCCATGAAAAAAAATAGAAATGAAACTTAGGGAATGACTGCAATGATTCATGGAAAAGGAATGGAAGAAATAACAGGGTTTTTTTTTTTTTTTAACAACTAATTGAATACTATTCTTTACTGAATACTAAATCTCTTAAGAAAAACTAAAACTGGGAAAAAGGAGGCCAGGTTGCCAGCTACCCAATTCCTGCCCTGCTTTGCAGTCCAATTTTCAGGGTAGGGGGAGGTGGTCTTTCCCATCCTTTTAGCTTACTTACTCCCCAGGCAGCAGAACGTGCCAAATATGTAGACTGGCTCTAGTTTTCCTCTAACTAGTTATTTACTTCAGCAGGCAATTTAAAAGGATGGAGGAGGTTTGAACAATTATGTACAACTTTGGAATCACAGGCAATACATTCAGAGTCATTAAGAGGAAGCAATTTTAACTACTCCCTCCTCTTCAGAACCAAGTAAAGATTCTGTATAAAGAGGTCTCTTAGGTTGACTGATCACACCAAACTGTGGGAACCAAGGGCTTAATGGACAATCAGGGAACTTCTATTAAATAAACCAAATTCAAAAATCAGCTCTAAGTGCTTATTCCGTATTAGAGATCATTAGTCTAATACACTTGCTCACTTGCTTTTGTCTTTCTCAATCCAATTCCCATTTGTTGGCATAACTTTAGGGATTCCTTATTGCAAAGGAAAAAACATAAAATGGACATTCAAAACAATAGGACTTGTTACAGGCAGGTCTACTAAGTGAAAATAATTATAACAATTTCCAGAACATCTTCATTATTGTGCTAAAATAACTGGTGTACATTTATGACTAAAATGGCCTTTCTCACATCACTAAGACTTTCCACTCCATAAATAAAGAAGCCGAGCATATCACAAGTTTACCACCCAAAATCTAATCCTGTGTCTTTTATCTCACAAGTCAAACAGAGCAAGAAAGTACTACTAGAGGACTCACGTGACATAAAAAAATAAAATGAATACTTCCATATACAGTGATTGGACTCTTAATACAACTATCGGAAAAAATACTTTGGTGAAACACTGACATTTAACGAGCACCAACTGTGAGCCTTTGGGGTTGGAAAGGGGAGATGAGGAGAGGGTGGAAAGGTATCTGAGATTCAGGCCTCATCACAGAGTCATTCAGAATCCGTGTTCTCATGTAGAGGGCACACCTCTGTGATCTGTGCACAGATAATAATCAGGTAAGATCTAAGTGTTACAGCAGAATTACCATATGCTATAAAAGTGGCATACAACAAAGGTAATGGGAGTCAAACTCACAGAATTTGGGAGAGAGGAATAACATTTCACTTGAATATTTTCATTTAAACACATTTAAAGCTTCCAGATTCACAGGTACAATTTATATTATACACAAGATGTAGTTTTACATCAGTTATAAATTAACTAAAGGGGCTCAGGTATTACTGGGCCAGCCAGGAGGCCAAAGAGCTCCTAAGGCTCCAGTGGGTTTCTTAGCTCATTCATAAGCAAGTGCTAAGGCCTCTTCTGAGGAAATTCAGATTGGGTCTGGATACAAAACTGTGTAGTCGGTATGCCCCAAATTTGCAGAATATATAAAGAGAAAAATTGAGAAGACAATACCACCAAAATGTTAATCCTACATACCTCTTAGGGTAGGGATACAGGTGACTTTAAAATTGTGTGCCTATTTATTTGTATTTCTGTTTATATTGTGAATTTTCTCAATGGAAACATAGTATTTATTTTGAAGTCTGTTTTTCTGACTGCATATTTCTTATTATTATATAAATACATCTTCCTGATTGTAAAAGTAACACACACACACGTATACACATTTTTCAAAGACAGGAATATAAAATTAAGCAAAATCCCACGTATTCCCCTCCCAAAGATAGTCTCTGCTAACATTTGGGTATATTTCTTTCCAGATGTTTGCTTTATGCATATGGAAGGCATATCTGTTATGTGCATAATCAGAAAACTATATAAACTGTAGATTAAAAAAGGAAGATCTTTTCCTGCTTCTTTCTCTTTTTTTTTTTTTTTTTTTTTTGAGACAGAGTCTTGCTCTGGCAATCAGGCTGGAGTGCAGTGGCACAATCTCAGCTCACTGCAAGTTTCCTGGGTTCAAGCAATTCTCCTGCCTCAGCCTCCTGAGTTCCTGAGATTACAGGCATGTGCAACCATGTTCGGCTAATTTTTGAATTTTTAGTAGAGATGGGGTTTCACCATGTTGGCCAAGCTGGTCTCAAATCCTGACCTCAGGTAATCCACCTGACTCTGCCTCCCAAAGTGCTGGGATTACAGGCATGAGCCCCCATGCCCAGCCCCTGCTTCTCTCTTTTAAAATATCTCTGTGACAGTAAGACATCCGTGATCTTTTGACTTTGCCCTTTTATTCGCGGAATACAAGCACCAGGAAAAAACTCGAATGACTCAGACAGACAATCTGTGGATTTTAACACTGTGGGGCCCAAGGGCGTGTTTTGGACATTTGGCTAGGACAAGTGGCTGGCACAGTGGCCAATTAAGAGGCACTTTGATGAGGAAAAACGTACTTTCTGCAAGACAGCTCTCTAGTGACCGGTCCACCGAATGCCTTCACTCTACTCTGTATGTGGCATCTGCTGCTACTTTGCTGATTCACAAATGACAAGTCCTGTCTCCTGGGCACACAAGCTGCCACCGGCGGGTGGCTGGGAACCTACACTGCTGGTGTCATGTGATACTCATGGTGTGTGTAGGGGTCTTCCCACCTGAGGTCTCTCTTATACTTCTTCCATAAGACTTTCTATAAAGGCAGAGCAATACCAGAGCAAAGCAAAGGCCCTGCAAACAGCAGTCAGATGCAGGGGCCGGAGGAGTTGAGGAGCTGAGGCACTGTGGTGGGAGAGAGTAGGACCACACGTGGCCAAGGCAGCCACATCCTGTTCCTGGACAGCCGCAGTGGTGACGTGCTGGGAGGATGGGGAGAGGGCTCTGCACCCACTGCCAAGTCAAACACAGGGCACTCCAGGCAGGATGAGAAACTCATCTTCCTGCCTGGTCAGAGTAAAATCTCCCGGTGAAGGTGGCAGTTTTCAAAGGCAGAGAGAGGCAGAGGCATTGCTGACTCAGTGGTGAGAGAGGGGAGTGTGGAAACTGGTCCCTTCGTGGAGGAAGTGACCTGTATGAGCCCACGCCCATCAAAATGTGAGCTGAATCAGAGGGGTCATGGAAGGACCAGTCCCAGGCAGACGTGAGCCATCCACGGCAATACCGGTACACTCTGCTTTTGTTTAAAATGAATAAGGGGCTTGCAGAATGAACCAAATGGACAATAATTACATGAAAAAAACACATCTTCCCAAGATGCCACCTCACTGGCCATCGAATCTGTGAAGCCGCTGTCTTCTCATTTCTTCTGCTGAGAGACGAAACCCATAGGGTGGTGGGCTATTTCTGGTATTTCCTGTAGTGAGAAATTCAAAGGAAAAATCAATCATTCTGACATTACAAGGCATGTGTACTCTAGGATTCTAAGGGAACAAAATGATAGCTTGGGTGTCATCTTTATTTTAACACAACACAGAAATATAACAAACATATTTCAACTTCAGTTGTCAGTACTAAATTTCAACATCAAGTAAACATTTTTAGAGTGGTTCAGCCATGAACCTGATTTGTCTCATTTTGAGGCTTCTTGATAATCCTCCCACTTGTATCTTTCCTTCTACCGTGATCCATAATTTGTATCATTCAGGCTTACACAGTGTCTCAAGGGCTTAACTGTCTTGTTTTTTTATGCCCATATATAACTTACTGACACGTCTACTAACTTCCCCACCAACGAGGCTGGGTGGCTTCTCCTGATCAGCCTCTGGCTGCTCATGTTCTTTCCTTTAATGTGCTACCTCCTGCATCAAGGTGCCAATCAGAATCATACGTGACTGAAAGACACAAGCGCCCACAGGGCATGTTGGGCCACAGAGCTGGAGCAGAGTTATCATACTGATCAATACCTGGGCAGGCAAACAAAAATGCAGGCATCGTATTTCAAGATCATCGGAAGGACTGTGGAAATAGTTACTGAAAAGGGTTTCTTGGTGATGCAAACTTAACAAAAATACAGTTTGTAATGATACAAGAATTTCAATCACTATGTAAGAAAACATTCTCCCAGGCATCATGAGTAGTAATAAAGGGAGAAAAATATATAGTCCTTGATCTCAAGGAACCAGCAATCTAAAGCTAATGAAAAAGCTGCAATATTCCCCATGAGGTAACCAGGAAGATGCATCATTGATAGAAACAGGTAAGTAGAGGTTCACTTCTAAACATGGGGACCAAAAAGGCTGTACCTTTTCACTACCATAGCTCTGCTAACACTGTTAATTTGCCTTGAAAGGCTCTCTCCCATCACCTACATCAACCAGAAGTCTCACTCATTCTTGTAATGCTAGGCCACCCCTGATGGAACCAATGGAAGAACTCTCCCAATTCAAACTCTTCAGCTTTCAGCACCTTCCATTTGGTTGTCTTCATTCAACCATCACCAGATCCTGCCAGATGTGTATGTATTTGTGCACCACGACTCTCTCTCCTACCAGGATCATAAGCTGTAAAATAGCAGGGGACCTCTCTGACACATCTCCCTCTCCCCAGTGTCTGGGACAGTTCTGAACACACAGGAGCTGTACGATAAATGTATGGTCTTGGCTCAACAGCACCTGCTATGACTTCCAACACTGCCCAGTGAGGTTCTGACATGACCCACTCGGGGCCAGATGTTCTGGCAGCACTGGCCTGGCTGGGAAGGGAGGGTGGGCAAAGCACAGTGAAGCCAAGAGGGAAGGCAAGTGAACAGTCAATCCCTCTTGCTCACTGCCCAAGAGTGGCACCTTTTCAGAGATGTGTCCATTGACGCATAAGCTGACATGACAACGTTAAAACTATAGTGAAAAGATGTTAGAGAAAGCAATGGGAAAGAGTCCGACTTTTCCATCTACAACTGAAGTTTATGTTGTCAAAGAGAAATTCGAAAAAGTAGTCAAAGCCAACCCCTTTTTTATATTTTTGCTTCTCTACTGATGAAGATGCCAATGGTTTTCCATAACTGATTCTCCTTTCCAGTTGGAAGCATGGGAGAATTATACCTCCCCAACCGCTTGTACCCTTCCTGACTAGAACACCCTAAAATAAACAAGGCAGGCCTAGCCCCCGCACTCACTTCTGCTGGATAAATCCCTGCTTCAAGGCATTTTGATACAGTGAAAAATAGGGCAATTTGTTAACTTTCATTAAAGATGATACTCAAGCATATTATAGGCTTATAAAAGTTTTACCATAAAGACTTTATGAATACTGTAAGATTAAAAGTTAAAAACCTGGATACCGTTTTAGCCATATGTATTTATAAAGGAATTTCTCTTTGTTCAAAATGGTAAATGCTTTGAAATGACAAATTCATTAATCAAATCACCATTAGTTGATTGCTTAAAACTGTTTTATATGATGAGATCCAAATCCTACTTTGCTTTTTCAACAGTTGTTTTTAAAAAGACTGGTCTTAATTGCACTTGTGAGTGCAGGCCAGGACTTGACACCTCATTCCAGATGGACCGGGAACTCTCTTAGAACTAGCTAAGGGCAGAGTCAGAAGCAAGCTCGACGTGGCACCCTGACTCAGGGCCACAGGGCAGAAACCCACAGAGGCTGAAAGACTGCTCAGACTCCCAGAGGGAAACACCATGTCTTCTAGTGTTTTCTTTAGCATTTCTTCAAAAGAAAAAACCCGAGGATTAATAATTTCTATGAAGGCAACTGCATGGAGGAATTAGGAGAGGGAGGCTGGGAAGGTGCCCAAGGTCCAGCTCTCAAATGAGCAGCCAGCACACATGGCCCTGGACCCATTTGCAGGGCATTCGAGGAGAACCAGGGCTGAGCCAACCGAAGAAATGCCACATGCTGAAGTAGAAAACTGACGTCAGGAGAAGAACAATCATCACACTCTTCTTTATAAAGCCCTTTCAAGGTGCCCTTCTCCACTTAGATGATCCCTTCCCAACAGAATCAACTCCGTTTTACAGATGAGGAAACAGAGGCTCAGAGAGTGTTAGGGACACATCTGAGGGCACTAAGCTAGCATGAAGAAAAGCGAACCTGCTGAGTTTCTCCCCACTTCCCCATATGGCCACCAGTTCTCACACCGAATATGTTCAGGGTTGTACATCTCACCATCCCCCACCTTCCTGACCAAATCCAGTGTCCCTTTTCTTCATGGATATGGAAATGTAGGAAGCTCACTGCTATTTGAAAATAGAAAAATAAAAAGGTCCAGTCTAAGTCCTCAATTCTGTGGGACTCTGATGATATCAAAGATGTGACTCAAAAGTTTCCAACATGGGTTTCCTTAAATTCCACTGGCTACTAGCATGGTTCGGCTTTTTAGGAGAACCAAGAAGGCCTTGGGTATAACGATACAACAACCAAAACCACAATAGTGCCTGATATGCCTGATTTGTAATCATGCCTTTTTTTTTTTTTTTTTTTTTTAGACTGAGTCTCACTCTGTCGCCAGGCTGGAGTACAGTGGCGTGATCTCTGCTCACTGCAACCTCTGCCTCCTGGGTTCAAGTCATTCTCCTGCATCAGCCTCCTGAGTAGCTGGGATTACAGATGCATGCCACCACGCCTGGCTAATTTTTGTATTTTTAGTAGAGATCGGGTTTCACCATGTTGGTCAGGGTGGTCTTGAACTCCTGACCTCGTGATCTGACTGCCTTGGCCTCCCAAAGTGGTGGGATTACAGGCATAAGCCACCATGCCCAGCCTCCATGCCTGCTCTTAAGAGCATTTTAATTCCTTCAAACTCAGTGTTTTTGATATAAAGGCCATCTTACTCTCTGAAGAACGGCTGGTTTGTTTCCAGCTCTGAAAACTACACTGTTCTGAATATGACTTGATTTGGGGGGGAATGTTTTTAAGCATTAAAACTTATTTCAAAGAGAGTCACAAACTTGATGTCAGTTAGCCACTAACCCACACAGACTACTGTGTGTGTGTTTTGGGTTGGAGACACAGTCGGGACAAGACTTCCTGGCTGTCCACTCAGTCTCAGGTATGCTCTGTCTTCCACTTCCCCACCTTTGCATTCATTTGTCTGTTTCTATACTTTCCACTTATGTCATACGATCTATTACCTCTCTTCTTAATCTCCAGCATCCTCTGCAAGCTTTCTCAAAGGGTCTCATCTTTGTGATTCTGGTACGTACTTAACATTTGTTAAGCACAGAGGAAAGAATCTGGACGAGCCTCACTGGGGTGGTAGAAGGAGGTGTCCCCATGAGTACAAAGGAAAAAGCGTTAGCAGGGAATTAGGAGATGGCTTCCCACCTCTGCCTGGGGTTCGTGAAGACACCCTACACAAGATGCTTCATTTCAGCAGTTTCCAGTTGACTCATCTGTGAGAGGAGGCTACTGAAAAAGGGGACTTCCAGGGTCCTTTCCATGACTCTGAAGTTTGACAACCTGTGATTAAATCCCAACTCCTCCACTTTTTAGCTACACATCCTTGAGCAAGTAGGTTACCCTCCTGCTCTTGGCCTTAGTTTTCTTATCTATAAAATGGGAATATTAAGAGTAGCTCCTTTGTTGGGTTGTTGAAGGATTAGAAGAGATAATGCATATAAAATGATTAGCTGAGTGCCATGTGACAGTAAATGCCTGCTGAGCACTGGATGGTATGATTGTTCTCTTGATCATCATCAAGAATCAAGTGCCAGCCAGGCATGGTGATGTGTGCCTGTAATCTCAGCTACTCAGGAGGCTGAGGTGGGAGGATTGCTTGAGCCTGGGAGTTCTGGGCTGCAATGCCTATGCTGATCAGGTGTCCACACTAAGTTCAGCATCAATATGGTGACCTCCCGGGAGCAGGGGACCACCAGGTTGCTTAAGGAGGGGTGAACCAGCCCAGGTCAGAAATGGAGCAGGTCAAAACTCCTGTTCTGATAAGTAGTGGGATCATGTCTGTGAATAGCCATTGCACTCCAGCCTGGACAACATAGCAAGACCCTGCCCCCGCCAAAAAAACAAAAAGAATCACATACTAAATGTCTACTTGTTCCTATCATTAACTAACTCTGTAAGAGATACACAAAATTTCAAAAACAGTGACTTCTTAAAATACAGAGCTCAATTCTGTTTGCAAACCCTTTGGCAGTGCTTTGTACAAAGTGCTGAGTTGTTAGTAACTAAATACCTGTCTTCTAGGAAATAGATATAAAAAAAGGTAACTAATGACCTTTATTAAGCAGCAGGCTTTTGTCACATGAAGGAGCCTTTGGGTGGCTGACAGCGCTGGAGTGTTCAGCCAGGATCTTCTTTTCTCTGCTTAAATCATGCATTGGACATTTACAGGTCTGGGTGAAACGGCCCTGCTCTGAAGAACTTGGTACAGAATATGAGTATTTA